TGAAATGGATGTAAATAGTTGTTTACATATATCTGAATAGAATTAATTTGAATTCTAATTATTACAATAAATACATTAATAAAATTCAGCATTGTTGCTGTTTGCAATTTTGTGTTTATAATTGTTCATTGCAATGGTGTATATCATGAATCTATCTATCTATCTGTCTGTCTGTCTGTCTGTCTGTCTGTCTGTCTATCTATCTATCTATCTATCTATCTATCTCTTATTTAAACTTGCAAGGGTTGTGTGCTCAGGCTGTTTCTGGTCCTCACACCTCACATCTGAGGCAGGAGAAGCTGCTCTTTCCCACACACCCTACTTCTGGTGTCACTTGTCCTCTCAAGTACTGACTGGGATCCTCTGAGGTGCCAACTCGCACCTCACGGAGGATATATTCAGGAGGAACACGGTCCACCAGCAACCACAACCTCATTCAGCAGAGACCTTCTCAACACTACAGCCATGGATACCTCCAGCTCTTCTCTTCAGCTCCAAGACAGCGGCGCTTTCCTGTTTGACTGTGAGAAGCTTCTGGATCAGAGCTACGCCGTATCAGATGCGGGCTACTACAGCGCCTGCAGCAGCCTGTCTCCAGCCTCTTCCATAGATTCCTGCGGCTTCTCCCCTTCAGCTTACCCTTGTGGAGTGGGACAGGACATACCCCAGATCTTCCCACACCACAGCATCACCACCCAGGAGAAGAACAAGGTCCAGCCACCCAAGAGAACCGGGCGGCCAAGGTCAAAATTCCCTGGAGTGAAACGGCAAACCGCAAGTGAGCGGGAGAAGCTGAGGATGAGGGATCTGACCAAAGCTCTTCATCACCTCAGGACGTACCTGCCTCCGTCGGTGGCTCCTGTCGGAAAAACCTTGACCAAGATCGAGACGCTGCGGCTCACTATCCAGTACATCTCCTGCCTGTCTGCTCAGCTCGAGCTTAGTGAAGACGAGGTTAATTGTGGAGCTCAGGCCGAGGTCAATGCTGCATCAACCATCTTTGACAGCTTCACTGCGACCCCTTCAGTTACTCAAAGTTTACCAGCTCAGCAGTTCCCATCTATGACCTGTTATCAGGTATGTACATTGTACTTCAACAGTGTTTATAGACTATTTTAAATAATATTTATTACTAAATATTTTGTAAATTTGTAGTAAATTTAGACTTCATAGGCAATATTGTACTTTAAGTGTTTTTTTAGGATAACTTAGTTTCTATTTTTATATTTTTTATTTTAATTTTTGCAAAAATTTTTGTATTTTTTATTAGGTTTTTTTTATTAGTTAGATTTAGTTAGTTTATACTATATTTATTTTTATTTAAAGTAATTTTTTTAATGGTTTTAATTTTAGTTTTAAAATTACTTAACTATAATAAACCAGGTTGTTATGCTGGGTTATATTTATAAAATAATTTTTAATAATAATAATTATTAAATTCTTTGCATTTTAAAAATTGAATTAAATTAAAATATATATATATATATGTATCCTGTTCTTTTTCTTAATTTGATCTGTATTTTATTTTTCCAGACTCAGAATCCAGTCGAAGGCGAATTTCTATCCTTCCCAGCTCAGGACTGTTGGTTTCTCGAGCAACACAATTTCTTCCACGGAGAGTGCTGATCAAAGCAGAATGAAATGCACAATCTGAATGCAAATATTAATTTGTGCAATGTGTGTAAGATAATGAAAATGAAATACTTTATATGTTTGTACAGCTATTTATATTTTTCTATATTTAAAAATATATTAATATTTATGAATTGTACATTTTCTGGCAAATAAAGCCTTGAAAAATCTTACATCAGTTTTGTGAGTTTTGTGTTTTAAACATTACATACAAATGATTTCAATATTATTAAACAATGTACACCATAAAACAGACCATTAAGCAGCATCCTAACGAGGGACAGCTGTGATGGTCATTCCACGTTGTAATTCACACATTTAAGGAAACACTCCTGCAGAGCAAGCATTAATGTGGGCAGGAGAGTAAACTAACTCTCACAGGTGAGATCCTTTAATACCCCTCAGACTGTAAACAAAGCTCTGTGGGGCTCTTCTTCTGAAATGCAAGGTCTGATGCCTCTTTCAAGCTAAATAGATAAACTGGTGTGTTTCCTAATATCTTAAATTCTCTTTTATCTAGAGGAACTAGGAAAAGTTCGCCCAAAAACGAAAAATTGCTGAAAATTCCATTGGACCATCCAAGATATAATTGAGTTTGTTTCTTCATCATCGGAACAGATATAAAGAAATGTAGCATTGCATCACTTGCTCACCAATGGATCCTCTGCAGTGAATGGGTGCCGTCAGAATGAGAGTCCAAACAGCTGATAAAAACATCCCAATAATCCACAAGTAATCCACACCACTCCAGTCCATCAATTAACATCTTGTGAAGTGAAAATCTGTGTGTTTGTAAGAAACAAATCCATCATTAAGGCATTTGAACTTTAAACCATCGCTTCTGACCAAAACATGAGTCCATAATCCATAATAATGCTTCCTCCATTCTGACGGCACCCATTCACTGCAGAGGATCCATTGGTGAGCAAGTGATGTAATGCTCAATTTCTTCAAATCATCTACATCTTTGATGGCCTGAGGGTGAGTACATTTTCAGCAAATTTTACATTTTGGGTAAACTATTCCTTTAAGCACCCATGGTGCCAGCAACAAGGCAACATGATGAGAATCTCACGATCCCATGTCAGATTGCACAACAACACAAAAACCTTGCTGTGAGTTTATTAAAGATATTAATAGCACCATTAGTGATGTGAGTGACAGCTGTTCTTCAATGTCCATTTATAATATGTGGTAAAAGTCGTAAGAGTCTTAAAGGTGACAAGTCTGCAGCTGCTTTCAGACACCATAATAATGAATCACTTCCTCACACTCCATTCCTCCCATTTGTGCAGTCTTGTCTACTTCCTCTGTTGAGCCCCTAATGACACAGAAGAATTAACCACGTTCATCTAGTTACAGAAACAACAAGTCCTGTAATGTGCTGTTACATCTTGGCCTGTGTTACTGAAGGTCCATTCCACTGCGGATGCCATTAGTTCATCTTTCATAAGCAGTATGTGCAAAAGATGTTTTTTCCCCCATTCATTTCCTCCATAGGTATTTCACAAACAAACAAACAATTAGATTAAAAATTACAAACATTTTGATTTGAGGTTGAATTTCATAAAAAGAAAATGTACTTTCTAAAGGCAATGAAACTACATGAAGAACAATGAAGAAATGTTGAATCATGAATGACAGTACAATATAACTGGTGATTATAAACAAAATATATTTGATGTTTATTTGCAAAATATTTAAATGCATACAAATATTTTTTGTCTGAGCAAAAGAAGATTGACAGCAGAGTTTAAACAACTACGTAATAAAATACTGCAAAATATTTTGTGATCTAATTTAATAATCAAAGGCACAGAACAGCTAATTATCAAACTTGATTATAAAATGTCTGTATTTTCAAAATATAAATATACAGTATGTAATACTTAGCAAGTATGTAAATATTATACCCAAACGGTCATAATGAGAGCGTGTTTAGTCTGACTGTTCAATCAGCCAGTTCATCACTTGCGCTTTGTTTTCAGATATCCATTTAATGTTGGCTTTTGTTTGTTCAATGGCCCGCTCTATTGCCTGCATACCAAAACTAAAACTGCTTGCGGCAATGTCCTCTTTAAATCGCTGCAGCTGTGATTAATCAAAGAAACCGAGAGAAAGAAAGGGATAAGTACACACATTTCCATATTTTCTATATATGTCATCATGTCTACCACACATCTCAAGAAAAAAAATAAAAATAGAATATAGCATCACAACAATTTTAGCTAATCTTAAGCTTTATAAAGAATATCTCTTTGGATTTGAGACTTTAGTCTTTGCAACTTTACAGATCTTCTTTATGCACCAAGAGCTTGTAACACTCCAAAGAGAAAGGAAAAATTGAAATCGCATCATATGGCCCCTTTAAGATAAAAAATAGTACATATTTGCTACTGTTTAAAAGTCACTAAGTGTCACTAAGAGGTCACTAAGATTTTTGAGACCGTTTTATTCAGCAAAGATGAATTAAATTGATCAAACGTTACAGTAAAGACATTTAAATGCTACAAAAGATTTCTATTTTGAATAGAAATGCTGTTCCTTTGAACTTTCTATTCAACAAAGAATCCTTGAAAAAATGTCTCATGGTTTCCAGAAAAAAAATATTAAGCAGCACAACTGTTTTAAACATTAATAATAAGAAGAAATGTTACTTGAGCTGTACCATCATAGGAATAAATTACATTTTAAAATATATTACAGTAGAAAATCATTATTTGATTTCTCATGATGTGACCCCTTTAAAATTCTTCACAACAGCTTCATGTTTGTGGTTATAGATTTTAAGTTATATCTCATTGTGGTGTCACTAAAGTAATATTTAGAATAAACAGTAATCATGTATTATTACTGTTAGATCAAAGTAATCATGTATTTACTGGTCCATGTATCTTGGGGGTTTCTGAGTCCAGTTTGATGTGAAAACTTTGAAGTGGTCAAAAAGAGGTTGCGCCTTTCTCCGCAGGTAAGTCTGGAGTGGTTTAAAGAAATTGATAAATGATCAAATAAGTGTCTAATACGTTCTGAATAAGCATTCTCTGTGTACTGAATTTTTTTATGTAAAGCTGCATATATGTGCATAATATGTAACAAACATACCTGCAAAGGTCCATAGACTTCTGTTCGGTCAAACATGAGGAAAAAGTACTCCAAATTTCTTATGGCAGATTCCCACGGTATGTACTCCTTCTCCTCGTAGAGATACTTGGTTGTTCTCAGAGCCAAGGTTATGTTGATTATCTCTGCCCTATGAATAATCAGATTCAGATTTTCAATTATTTTATTATTTACAGAAAGATAATTTTTTGATGAAATTGATGCCCTGAGGAATTGTCCATTGATGAAATATCTTTGCAGCAGAGAGCTTACCTTGCCAAATTAAATGCATCATCGATTATCTGGCCCCTATTAAGAACTGGAATTACCTATGCGAAAAGAGGGTAAAATCAAATGTTATATTATGTTATTATTTATTATATGTATATTATATCAAGTTACTAGTAAATATCATTTATAATTATATATTAAAACAATTCAGAACTACAAAATTATACAGCAGAACAATATATATTATAAAGATTGTAATGCACTAGCACTAGTCAACATTTGAAGTAGATCAAAACCTTTCATCAAAGTTGTTCTAAAACCATTTTTGATCAACTTCAAATGTTGTTCACTACTATATTTAATACTATATAACCATACAATTTTGTTACAGTTTTGCTAAATTTGGATTTTATTCAGGTATGCTACTTTGATGCTTAATGTTTTTAATTAATTTAAAGATAATGAGATGCCTACTTTATGATCTGAATTCAGTTGTGTGAGGAGACGTTCCCAGTTCTGGGGATCATAATTAACCCTGTAGTATCCCGTGACATTCAGGTTGGCCAATAACCAGTCAGTATCAGTCTTCATGGGCTCATATGAAGCTGTTTTAGTAAGCAGCCAGTGCTGGCGCATGTTACTGCCACTCTTCATCCATGTGATTGGCACAAACCATTCATAACTGCAATCATTTTTGAACATACACACAGTATACTTTAAAAGGACAGGACTCTGTTGGCACATTTGTCAGTTTAAACATACTTGTAGTCAGATGGCTTGTCCACTACTGCCTCTGGGTGTATCAGGAAGTGCTGCTGAGTGATACTTCCTGTTCGAGTGTCAATAGTTACTACAGGAAAACCCATCTGAAGAATCCAGCGATTCATAATTTCATTTATTGAGGCTGGGAGCTGGATGCTTGAATCTGCGTCTACAACCTGAAAAAGATTTATAATGAAACATAATGAAAAGTATGGTTGAAAAGACAAACACGCTTACACTAATATTTAAGGATTCCATTGCATCAATTTTGTAACTTACTTCCTGCAGTTTTTTCCAAAGATCTGTGTACACAGTGTTGCTGTATGCATACTCGTGCAAATAGTTCTGTGGAAATAATGCACGGGTGTTAGTCTGAGAAAAAGTCACTCTAAAAGTCACATTAATGCATCATAAAATACTTTTAAAACCTCAAACTCTTCAGACATACATGAAGTCCATTAGCAAAGACAGACTCTGTCAGAAACTCAGACAGCATTCTCAGTATTGCAGCCCCCTGAAATGACAACAATTTAGCATTAACTAAAACACTGCAATACGACACTGCTTAACAGTGTTATTCCAAGTTGTTTTTGGCACATGATGAAAACCTTGCTATACGTGATGGTATCAAATAACTGATCGATTTGATCCGGTGTGATGACTTCATGCTCTCGTGAAGAAAGCGGGTGGGAGGAAACAAGAGCGTCAACGACAAACGCCCTCTGAACCTGTTGCTGCACCATCAGATCTTTCTTCAGGAGAGAAAAGACAGTGAACCCCTCACTTTAATATATTCATAATACTTAAAAAAATGATATAATAGCAATGTACTTGATATAGATTACTTTTTTGTAGTCTGTATCCGGTAACGGCTTCACTTTGCTCATGAATATTAATTAAGTTACGTTACGTTACGTTACGTTACGGTTGCCTAGTAGCAGTGGGTCTGGCGTTAAAAAAGACGTAAATAATTAGCTAGCAAATGAAGAAATCTTACTATTTTGAGTGCACTGTTCACGAATGAAACAACTTCACGGAACTTTACCAAGCCTCGTCTGCATGATTTATTGGGGCGCAAGTAGAGGACGTTTTTCGTTGGAAATCAAGCAGGCATAGAATAGAAACGTGAAGTAACTATTTTTAACGCGATACTCAATCGGTTCAGGGCGAATGACGCTAAACTGCACTAAAATCAGATTAAACACCATTGCACTGTAGGTTAAAAACCATAACAAACACGGGAAAGCGTCGGCGTTCACTGGTCACCTGGATGGAAAGCAACGGAAAACGACCAATCGCAGTGGGACGCAGTGTTGCCAGATTGGAAATGTCCAAGTATCGTACCAGATGCTCAAAATTATCGTATTTGGAAGAAAATTATCGTACACGAGTTAAACGTACAGAATATAGCTAATATTCTAGACTCTAGACCAGGGATGGGCAACTTTGATAGTGACGAGGGCCAGCATTTTTTCTCCTTTATACCAAGGGGCCAGATTACTAATCCACATCCACACACCTTTTACACCGTTTTACTCAATTTCCTTTTTATTGAAG